AAATTTAAAATTCACCAAGTTGATGCTGGGCTCCTTAGCAACAAGGATGCGGGGAAGATTGGGACCACTTTCAGGAACACGCTGTATCTACACACTCTCCTTTTTTCGGGATGACTGCTGCCAACCATGAAAATTGAGACTTCACCGAGTTCATAGTGGGCTCCTTGGCAACAAGGCTACCTGGAATATCGAGATCACCTTTAGGAACACTCTGTATCTACACACTCTCCTTTATTCCGAATGACTGCTGCCAACCGCGCAAATTGAGAAATTACTGTACCTAAAGCGTGCCTCTCTTGGCAGCAACCATCCAAGAATCTTCTAGATCAGTTTTCGGAACACGCTGTATCATCGCTTGCTTTCTCGATCAGTGCTGTCCGATGCCAACCGTGCAAATTGGATATGCCCCGATCGCAAACTGCCGCCCCCATCCGAACAAAGCATCGATGAGCCGTGCAGGTCTGTTATTTGCAACACCCTGTATCGGCGCTTCCCGCCTCAACGGGGACGACTGCTGCCAACCGTGAAAATTGAAAATTCACAACAATCCGGGCTCCTTAGCAACAAGGATCGGCAGATGATTGGGATCATTTTTAGGAATACGCTGTATCTACACAATTTCCATTTTTCGGGATGAGTGCTGCCAACCGTGACAATTGAGACTTCACCGAGTTCCTAGTGGGCTCCTAGGTAACAAGGCTCCGTGGAAAATCGAGATCACCGTTGGGAACACTCTGTATCTAAACACTCTCTTTATTCCGGACGACTGCTGCCAACCGCGCAAATCGAGAAGTCACTGTACCTAAAGCGTACCTCTCTTGGCAGCAAGCATCCAAGAATATTCTAGATCAGTTTTCGGAAAACGCTGTATCATCGCTTGCTTTCTCGATCAGTGCTGTCCGATGCCAACCGTGCAAATTGGAAATTCCCCGATCAAAAACTGCCGCCCCCATCCAAACAAAGCATCGATGAGCCGTGTAGGTCGGTCATTTGGAACACCCTGTATCCGCGCTTTCCGCCTCCGACGCGGACGACTGCTGCTAACCGTGAAAATTTAAAATTCACCAAGTTGAAACTGGGCTCCTTAGCAACAAGGATCGGCGGATGATTGGAATCACTTTTAGGAACACGCTGTATCTACTTACTCTCCTTTTTTCGGGATGACTGCTGCCAACCTTGAAAATTGAGACGTCACCGAGTTCATAGTGGGCTCCTAGGTAACAAGGCTCCGTGGATAATCGAGATCACCTTTGGGAACACTCTGTATCTACACACTATCCTTTATTCCGAATGACTGCTGCCAACCGCGCAAATCGAGAAGTCACTGTACCTAAAGCGTACCTCTCTTGGCAGCAAGCATCCAAGAATCTTCTACATCAGTTTTCGGAACACGCTGTATCATCACTTGCTTCCTGGATCAGTGCTGTCCGATGCCAACCGTGCAAATTGGAAATTCCCCGATCAGAAACTGCCGCCCCCATCCGAACAAAGCATCGATGAGCCGTGAAGGTCTGTTATTTGCAACACCCTGTATCCGCGCTTCCCGCCTCGACGGGGATTACAGCTGCCAACCGTGAAAATTTGAATTTCACCAAGTTGATGCTGGGCTCCTTTGCAACAAGGATGTGGGGAAGATTGGGACTCTTTTTAGAAACACGCTGTATCTACACACTCTCCTTTTTTCGAGATGACTGCTGCCAACCATGAAAATTGAGACTTCACCGAGTTCAAAGTGGGCTCCTAGGCGACAAGACTACCTGGAATATCGAGATCACCTTTAGGAACACTCTGTATCTACACACTCTCCTTTATTCCTAATGACTGCTGCCAACCCCGCAAAACGAGAAGTCACGGTACCTAAAGCGTGCCTCTCTTGGCAGCAACCATCCAAGAATCTTCTAGATCAGTTTTCGGAACACGCTGTATCATCACTTGCTTCCTGGATCAGTGCTGTCCGATGCCAACCGTGCAAATTTGAAATTCCCCGATCACAAACTGCCGCCCCCATCGGAACAAAGCATCGATGAGCCGTGCAGGTCTGTTATTTGGAACACCCTGTATCCGCGCTTTCCGCCTCGACGGGGATGACTGCTGCCAACCGTGAAAATTGAAAATTCACAACATGCCGGGCTCCTTAGCAACTTGGATCGGCAATTGATTGGGATCACTTTTAGGAATACGCTGTATCTACACAATCTCCATTTTGCGGAAGTCTGCTGCCAACCATGACAATTGAGACTTCACCGAGTTCATAGTGGGCTCCTGGGCAACAAGGCTCCCTAGAAAATCGAGATCACCTTTAGGAACACTCTGTATCTAAACACTCTCTTTATTCCGGACGACTGCTGCCAACCGCGCAAATCGAGAAGTCACTGTACCTAAAGCATGCCTCTCTTGGCAGCAACCATCCAAGAATCTTCTTGATCAGTTTTCGGAACACGCTGTATCATCGCTTGCTTTCTCGATCAGTGCTGTTCGACGCCAACCGTGCAAATTGGAAATTCCCCGATCACAAACTGCCGCCCCCATCCGAACAAATCATCGATGAGCCGTGCAGGTTTGTTATTTTTAACACCCTGTATCCGCGCTTTCCGCCTCCGACGCGGTCGACCGCTGCCAACCGTGAAAATTTTAAATTCGCCAATGTGATGCTGGGCTCCTTAGCAACAAGGATGCGGGGAAGATTGGGACCACTTTTAGGAACACGCTGTATATACACACTCTCCTTTTTTCGGCATGACTGCTGCCAACCATGAAAATTGAGACTTCACCGAGTTCATAGTGGGCTCCTGGGCAACAAGGCTCCCTAGAAAATCGAGATCACCTTTAGGAACACTCTGTATCCACACACTCTCCTTTATTCCGAATGACTGCTGCCAACCGCGCAAATCGAGAAAACACTGTACCTAAATCGTGCCTCTCTTGGCAGCAACCATTCAAGAATCTTCTAGATCAGTTTTCGGAACACGCTGTATCATCGCTTCCTTTCTCGATCAGTGCTGACCGATGCCAACCGTGCAAATTGGAAATTCCCCGATCACAAACTGCCGCCCCCTTCCGAACAAAGCATCGATGAGCCGTGCAGGTCTGTTATTTGGAACACCCTGTATCCGCGCTTTCCGCCTCGACGGGGACGACTGCTGCCAACCGTGAAAATTGAAAATTCACAACATGCCGGGCTCCTTAGCAACAAGGATCGGCAGATGATTGGGATCACTTTTAGGAATACGCTGTATCTACACAATCTCCATTTTTCGGGATGACTGCTGCCAACCGTGAAAATTTTAAATTCGCCAATGTGATGCTGGGCTCCTTAGCAACAAGGATGCGGGGAAGATTGGGACCACTTTTAGGATCACGCTGTATATACACACTCTCCTTTTTTCGGGATGACTGCTGCCAACCATGAAAATTGAGACTTCACCGAGTTCATAGTGGGCTCCTGGGCAACAAGGCTCCCTAGAAAATCGAGATCACCTTTAGGAACACTCTGTATCCACACACTCTCCTTTATTCCGAATGACTGCTGCCAACCGCGCAAATCGAGAAAACACTGTACCTAAATCGTGCCTCTCTTGGCAGCAACCATTCAAGAATCTTCTAGATCAGTTTTCGGAACACGCTGTATCATCGCTTCCTTTCTCGATCAGTGCTGACCGATGCCAACCGTGCAAATTGGAAATTCCCCGATCACAAACTGCCGCCCCCTTCCGAACAAAGCATCGATGAGCCGTGCAGGTCTGTTATTTGGAACACCCTGTATCCGCGCTTTCCGCCTCGACGGGGTTGACTGCTGCCAACCGTGAAAATTGAAAATTCACATAATGCCGGGCTCCTTAGCAACTTGGATTGGCAGATGATTGGGATCACTTTTAGGAATACGCTGTACATACACACTCTCCTTTTTTCGGCATGACTGCTGCCAACCATGACAATTGAGACTTCACCGTGTTCATAGTGGGCTCCTGGGTAACAAGGCTCCGTGGAAAATCGAAATCACCTTTGGGAACACGCTGTACTTACACACTCTCCTTTTTTCGGGATGACTGCTGCCAACCATGAAAATTGAGACTTCACCGAGTTCATAGTGGGCTCCTAGGCGACAAGACTACCTGGAATATCGAGATCACCTTTAGGAACACTATGTATCTACACACTCTCCTTTATTCCGAATGACTGCTGCCAACCGCGCAAATTGAGAAATTGTTGTACCTAAAGCGTGCCTCTCTTGGCAGCAACCATCAAAGAATCTTCTAGATCAGTTTTCGGAACACGCTGTATCATCGCTTGCTTTCTCGATCAGTGCTGACCGATGCCAACCGTGCAAATTGGATATTCCCCGATCACAAACTGCCGCCCCCATCGGAACAAAGCATCGATGAGCCGTGCAGGTCTGTTATTTGGAACACCCTGTATCGGCGCTTCCCGCCTCGACGGGGACGACTGCTGGCAACCGTGAAAATTGAAACTTCACCAAGTTGATACTGGGCTCCTTAGCAACAAGGATCGGCGGATGATTGGGATCACTTTTAGGAACACGCTGTATCTACTTACTCTCCTTTTTTCGGGATTACTGCTGCCAACCGCGCAAAACGGAAGTCACTGACATTAAATCGTGCCTCTCTTGGCAGCAAAGAAGGAGAAGGTTTTAGAGGTTTTCAGGAACCTGCATATTTTTATAAGAAGACATACTTGTTTTGTAGAAAAAAGGGGGGAAAATGTTTCCATCCTTAATCGATACTCTCCCTATAAAGGTACTCAATACACGTGTTACTTCCAGATCAGTGGCGATTTTGCAAGTCGGACAACTGTGTTATTCCTCCATTTGAATCGATTGAAAATATCGATGTTAGGTGAGGCAAAATGTCTCACCAAGAATCGATTGTTTTACAATCATTCAAATGGAGGAAAAACATTGTTGCCAACTTTCAAGAATCGCCACTGCTCCAGATCAGGATCACCACAATAAACTAATGAGACTTTTCAATCCTATTTTCCAGGCACATAAGGGACCGGAAACATATAAATGGGGACCGCCAGTGTGTTTGGCCTCGCAGTGTCCACCAGTTATATTTTTCTTACGTCGCTGATAGCTTTCTGGATCCGTAAATTCATTCACCGGATTCTAAATCGAGACACTCGGCTGAGATCGGTGTTGCTAGAGTTTGTGGCGGCCGCTGAATTATGCGCTTCTTGCTTTGAGTTAGCAATTGGTAAGTAATTTAGTAAGTAATTTTTGGTAAGTAATTGGTAGACGTTTGCGAAGGGGTAAATTGTCTCTGGGGGTGAACATCTAATAATTCCTAACAAAATCCGCAGTTCTTTCCGTCCCAATTGAAGACATTGGCGGATCCAGCAAATTGGCAACATTGTTCTCTCTCCATTTAAACCTATGGAATTGTATCGATTCTTGGAGAGGCCAGATGCTCCGACAAAAATCGATTATTTAATATAGTTTTAAATGTAGAAAACCCGGTTTTGCCAAATTGCTGGATCCGCTTCTGATTAAAAATGCGATAATTCGTCGTTTCCCGGGCAAAGGAACGTAACTCCATGTCAGGGTTGCAAAATGGACTCAAAGAGTTCCATCTTTAATAGAAATACTAGCTGCTGCAGCTCGCTACGCTCGCTTGCGCCGCTAGCCGGTGGCTTCGCCCCCTGGACCCCCAGTCACTTGCTCCGCGAGTGAATGTTGGCTCGCCTCGCGAGCCAAATTTCGCTAGTACGAGTAATTAGAGGACTTCCTGGAGGCAAAATGATAAATTCAAAAACAAAGAATAAGAAACTAATAGTGATAACCACCTAGGTACTTCTAGAAAAAGAAACATCCTTGAAAAATAAAAAACACTTTGTGAAAAGTTAACGATGCGAAAGGGTGAACATTGTTACCGATTTTCTTGGAAGAACACATGAGCTGCTGTAAAAAAGTTAATTATGAATAAAACCTGTGCTGCCGTAAAAAGCAAAATTATCTTCTGAAAAATGCACATCAAAATTATCTAATTTTCATGTAAAAAAAAACTAAAGACAAAATCAAGAAAGCAAAACTCTAGACGCATTAATAAGAAATCTGGACAAAGCGAAGACTCATTATGAGCAATGCGACGGAGGAATTGCGTAGCAGGTGTACCGAGTCAGGCGGCATGCGGAAGGGAGTGATACTGCCATAGGACCCATGCCAGAGTAGAAGGGTGACACGTGTTGTGAGCAGGTAGGGATGGGTTTACGTGGAGAGGGAAACGGAAAATCAGAGGGTGGGAGGTCCCTCAACCATATGACTTGTCCAGCGGCAAAGACGCAAATATTTCGTAATCAAATCGGGGTAAGTTTTGCAACGTCGTTCGTGCAAATCGAAAAACCAAGGGGTGTTGGCACATCTACAGCCTAAGAGCTTTCATTTAAAACAAATCCGAGGAAAATCGGTCCAGTAGTTTCCGAGATCGAATTAGCACAAACTGTAGGAGGCCAAAAAAGGCCTTAGGATATTAAATATATAGATGATTGTAATGATTCCTTACTAAAATTTCGCTGAGTTTTGCGTGTAATCAAAAGGATTATCACCAAAATTTTCAGTTAAATTTGCCTAACAGTTTCCAAATCAAATTAAAATGTTCTGATGGAAATTTGTGTGAAAAATTTGAATAGAGCGAAAAAACATTCAGGATGTTTCGCGCAAATTTCACGCTCATCCTCAACGGGGCGAACAAAAGCTATAAATGAAAATTTGAAAGAAGGATATGTGTGAAGGAATTAACTCTTAAGATCCGTTATTCCATCGATCTTGTGCTCCGAACTAGATGCGGCATGACTGACTGTCCCGAAAGCGAAACTTGACAGATTTGCAAACGCCTTCAATTGTAGCGTGATACCTCCCGCATTCCGGAGAGTACGGATACTTGTATCATTGCGCCTTATTAACGCAACGGAATATGAAGTAGGAACATTGAAGTAGCTTCCAGGCTGGCCTATTCAGGTTTTCTGTGTCATTTTTACAGTCGTAAATGTGTAGTTAAAGTGAGCTCAAGTTAGAATTGTATTAAGCAAATGAGTAATTTTTGTACGAGGATTTTTCAAAAAATGGCTCGACTGGGAAATAAAGAATTTTTCAGGGCATGAACAATTCCGGGAAAATTAGGAACTCTGTTCCAGAAATCGGGAATCTCTTTTCTCCGTTTTTCTTTTGAAATAAGACGAATTTTCCAATAAAAGCCGAGTCAGTTTATTAAAATTAGATCAGCCGAATTTTGAAGGAAATTCGATTAAAACAATTTAGGCGGTACTGATTTCTGCGGCATCCCCGAGTTTCGCTTGAATAGGATTGCATTTTGCAATTCGGAACTATAATTTCCGGCTCATCTGTAAAAAAAAAAAAAAAAACTTATGTGCATAAGGAACCTAATGGTACCTAAGTTGATTCTAAACTTAGCCAGAGATTTTCAATTTATTTATTTATTTATTTTCTTCAGTTTAAAATGTACAAAAATAGTTACAATCAACTATATTCATCCGTGAGTTTAACTCGTGTGGATGAGTCAGTTTCAAATATTTAATTTAAATTTAAATTTTTAAAACAATCACAATGTTAAATACAAAAATACAATAAACAAATTTGTATAAAATAGTTTACATTTATTATGTTCTTTTTAATTTATCTAGGTTAGATTTAAAGGTTGGCCAGGCCCTCGTTCTAATTTCATTTGCTTGCAGATTATAGTTCCTAATTGCAAAATGTAATCCAATTGTCCCTTTGGTTCAGTCTAAAATCCATTCTAAACCTCACAAAATTCTCTTAAATATCAGACAGTTTCGAAAAATCATAAAAAAAAGTATTGGTAATATGTGAGAGGAAATCCGGAGTTTCGCAAAGCGAGGCGCGCAGTTTCGCACTCTCACTTTATTTTTGCACTTTGATTCATACAGTTGCGGACAACTATGGCATCTTAGCGTACGCAGTCTACTTGTTCTCCTTGACGATATGGTGGGGCTATTCCTGGGGATCAGCCACAGCATGCCCCTACACTCATCTCGAAGACGTCATCGAAGGGCGCACCGATCTCCGGGTGGCCCTGCTCATTTGCTGGGCTGAGATTGGCGGCGGACTCGCCATTTTCAGGTGAAAACTTCCTTAAAATAGAATAGGATACTGAAAATCCTGCGCATGAAACAATGAAAACAAAACCATTCCCGGCTATATGGGCATACTTACCGTGCGCTCCGGGCTCAGAGGCCGAAAGTTCCGGATGCTGAAGCCGGAGTTCCTCCTGCTCCAGGTGCTACGCCCGGAACTTTCAGCCTCTGAGGCCGGCACGCGGACGGTATGTCTATATAGTTCGTAGCTACGGCTTTCATGACCGGAGGTCTTTTTCCCCAGTGCAGTGGTTAGAGTACACACAGAAAAAAAGAAGGCGGTCGCATTTTGGACAGACGGAAAGAAATGAAATGTTGAATTAGCATTTCTACTGTTAAAAAGATGTCCGACAAGTTTCAAATGCTGATTTTACATTTTACCAAATGCTAACGTAACTACCCCCACTGCAAAACGTACAAATTAAAATGTTATGTTAACATTTTTGTATTGTAAAATCAGCATTTGAAACTTGTCGGACATCTTTTTAACAGTAGAAATGCTAAATCAACATTTAATTTTTTTCCGTGCATCTTGGATTTTGTCGATGACGGAGGTCGGTACGGACAGTTTTTATCCTCGATCTTCTTGAAAATGGTGTCGTTTATGGAGAAAAAGTCATTCCACATGAAGTGTTTTAAATTATATGTTGAGATGATCTGAGAAAAAAAGGGGAAAAAAGGCGCTTTGGTCTGTTTTTCATACTTAGATTTCGGATTTAGCTAGAATATTGACGCCATATTGTATACCGACCTAATTCACGAGGTAAACAAACCTCAAGACGTGACCACCTCCTTTGTTTTCTCTACATGATTAGAGTCCACATCAAATAAGTTTAACTCACTTTTAGCTGACTGCGGCAGATCCTCATCTGACGTCAGTTTGGCATTGAAAGTAAATGCAAGAATCAAGTCCACTCTCTCAGTCTAAAAGAGTGTAAACTTATTTTGTCTGGGCTCTAAAAACTCTCACAACGAATTCTCCGACAGAGGCTGTTTGACTATAATATGGACTATGGAGGATGATATTACTACTCAGCCACACGGGAGTTAGTGTTGCCTGAACTAAAAATTGAAGGCGGACTGACATCACGTTACAATAATCTCATTCCGTTTGGTAAAAAGCTCTTATTTGTGTATGTCTGGAGTGAACGAACATTTCGTGATGATACAACTATTCAATCACGTAGGAGCCCGTGTTGCCTTCACTGAAATTGAAGGCGAGCTGACATGCCGTTAGGATATTGTTTATCCGTTTTGTAAGAAGCAGGTTGACTTAAGAGTCCTAAGACAACCCTGTAACTTTGATTGAATTGAGATTGAGAATTGATATTTTTTCAACGCTCCTGATCAAAGTAAGTATAGGTTCAACGCCAAGGAAATACGACTTGAGCGCGCACCGTGGTATACGCGCAATGCATGCAGTATCTTGCAGAATTGTAAGGCGCTACTATGCCCTGCGCGCACCGTGCTGTATACGCGCAATGCAAGAAGTATCCTGCGGTCTTGTAAGGCGCCACTATGCTTTTACGCCGCGCGCGCCAGCCCTGCGCCGACCCCGGCCGATATGCGTCCCGACTTTTTGGTGTTTTTAATATTTTGGTCTCGCTCTTCTCATGTTTCACAATGGACCACTAGACAAGGTACGAATTTAAGCAATCTGATACATGTTTCTTAACCAGAATTTCACGTAGAAAACGATTCACACAACGAAAGTGATTGAAACCAACTCCTAACGAAGATATTAACGTTTTTATTTCACATTGGTTACGAGGAATTTGAACTGCCCGCTCACAAGAAACTCAAAACTCTACGTGAGTCAAATCGCCCACTACAACGGTTTCAGCAAGCTTCTCAATCGAGCAATGTTCATTTCCCATCATGTGTTGTTCAAACTAGAAGCAATTTGCCATAACTGAGCCAAAGCGTCAAGATTGAGGTTTCCAGATTTTTATATCGCAGAGACTGTCATGATAACGTTTAGCGCGCGATGTGAATCACGTAAACCGTTGAGTTTTCATGAGCGGGTGGTTTGAATTCACGCATTAAGAATCATTAAATATCTTCGTAAGGAGTTAATTTCGGTAATTTTCGTTGTGTGCATCGTGTTTTACGTAAAATTTTGGTTAAGAAACATGTATCAGAATGCTGAAATTCGTACCTTATCTAGTGGTCCATTCTTGGAACTTCCTCGGAGAGGGGCTTATGGACCTTCATTTGGGGGAAGTACTCTTTGTCTGTCTCCTCACTGAGATAAAGACCAGATAGAGAAAAGAAGAAAAGAAAAGAGAGGAGGAAAGAAGAGAAGAAATACCTTAACCCACTGATGAGTAGGTACGGAGTCTCCTTTTGTTTCCCTCGTGAAATAAACTCGACTTTTTAAAACCTATTTCCTTTCATCTCATATTTAACCGTGTAGAGAAAAGTTTGTAAATATTGAAATCATACTTTCATCTAATTTGAATATTCATCTTAGGTATATCAATTACTTGTGGAGTTTGGAAATTGCATCAGTTCATAAAGGAAGAGCTAACGCAGCTTGCACGGCAGATTTACAGGTGAGATGCGGTGTTTCAAACTCTTATACAACATTTAACTGTCATCATTAGTATTTTAAAAAAAGCAAACGAGCAGGCATTTCATAGGAAATTCTCTTCCTCAACCCTGTCAAATATTATCACATGAAACTCTACCATAAATTTCAAAGAAAGTTTAAGAAAATCAACTGTACTTCTACCATGCTGAAATTGGATTCGGAGCTTTCTCTTTCCAGAATGTTTCGATGTTGAATTATACTGATCCAAGTTTTTGTATATTTTGTGAAACTCCGGATCGCATGTGATGACTGAAACAGGCCGGCAAAGAAATAGTGTGCTGTGACTGTCAGAATTGGATTGCATTCTGCAAAAAGGAACCAAGAGCATTCCAATGTTGCTAAGATTGTGCAACTTTTTTTACCATGCAAATATAAACTGATCATCTACACAAGATTTATCCTTACTTTCCATAAATCATAAATTTAAGACGAAAATTATCTTCGTAAAATTATTTTTTTGCGTGATCTTAGTACATTATTGCAAAAAATGTAAGTTGCACAATCCTGGCAACATTGGAATGCTCTTGGTTCCTTTTTGCAAAGTGCGATCCAATTTAAACACACTGGTGGCACTGAGTCTTACCCTCTCTCCTTCTGGCTGCAAGATGACATAATAGATGGCGGCAGTGTCAAATCATGTATTCCAGTTATCTACATTCGAAATGTCTAGTCTTCAGAGGGCTGATTATCTCTTTTGCACAAAATCTGTTGATTTTTATCTTTCTTTTCTACAATATTCTCCAGAAATTTAGCGTAGAAATGTTGAACTGTATTTTCTTCCAGAAATAAATTATGAGCGGAAATTTTTGAAAATCCGCGATGGTAATTCGTGGTTTGGTGTTTCATAATCAATATCATTGCCTCTGCGCCTTTGCTTCACGCCAGTGACGATTTAAAAAGTTGGCAGCATTAAATTTTTTCCATATAAATGCGCTAAAAAAATCAAACATATTGTTTCACACACATTTGCATGGATGAACAACAGTGTTGCTAGCTTACAAGAATTGCTACTGCCTCAGATGTAAGTAATACCGGAAAAAAATGTTAACATCGTGATATTGGTGACCAATTTATGTTTTTACCAAGACGTGTCTGCTATTTACAGGTACATATGATCCTAGGAGCCCTGGTTGAGGCTGGTGCAACTTGTTTATGCAGGCTGTTTTCGAGAATATTGGGGGATTTGGAACCGAAATTTTCAAATTATATTGATGCCTTTTTCGGAACATCGCTTGTTGTTGCAGGTTAGTGTACCTATAGGAGTTTCAAACAAATGCCTGGCAAGGCTTACAATTGAAAACATTAATAAATGACGGGCTTTCTGCACTCTGAATAAGAGTCAATTTCAACATTTCTAGATTGAAAATTATAAAATATGAAAACAAAATTAAAAATATGATGTTTTCATAAGCTCTCTGCCTCCTATATTCCCATTTTGGTCATAGTTTGTGCTTTGGGGCCGACCTTCACGATTTCTAACAATCGAGATATAGTGATTTTTTTTTACATAAATTCTCCGCTGATATGCACTTCAACCCTGTTTTAAGTATACTCACTCACATATTTCTTTTCCATTTTAATTTCAGCCTTCAATTACTCCGGGGGATACTTCAACCCAGTTTTAGCAACAGCGCTGAAATACGGCTGCGAGGGAAATACCACGATTGAACATTTTGTAGTCTACTGGATTGGTGCTTGTCTCGGTTCGGTCGCAGCACTGACATTTTATAATCGTTACGTTCGACCATTCACTCAAAAATCAAAATTGCACTGATACAAACTGTAGGACAATGCGCGATCAACTATTGGCACATGAATTGCATCAACAGTTAAATTAAAAATTCATCTGAAAAAGCAGCAATCTAAATAATAAGAGTGCGCAGTTTTTTCGCGTTAACGACCCCTCAACCGTCCAGAATACAAAAGAATAGCTTCATTTCAAAAGAGTGATTTTCCCATTTTTCTCATCGTTTTTTCTTATTGTCTGGTTTTTTGTTTTTTTTCTTGGTTCCTTGGAATGATTTTTTAAATAAAAATGGCAGGTACTTACAGTAATAAAGTCTATAAAAGATTTATAGTTTTTTAGTCTCGAACGATTGTGGGCACTTCTAGTGAATACACTGATTCATCACTCGTCAGCTAGCCAATGATAGAGAGTACCACACGGCGACTCCTGCAGTTTGCTTGGAGCAACTATTTTAACTCCCCGGCGATCAAATTGCATAAGCACCTAATTGAAGGAGCTCTGAAAGCCGTCCATTCGCGTTCTGGCGGACTACCCGAGAGCGCCGCGCCTTGTCCCGCGATGTTTTAACACTGAGGATCTATTTTAACACCACAAAGATCAAAATGCATGAGTACTGAGTGCACTTTGAGCTGACCTCCTGCTTTGCGGTTAATCGGTACGAAATTTACCAACGAGAGAGAAAAAACGGCGGAAACAAATGATACTTTTTTTCTTTCTCTTCCCGACAAAACTTTAGAAATAATCAGCTAAGTGATTATTCAACCAAACGAAACATTTTGGGGAAAGAACTCTCAGGATTTCCTCTCCCATCATCCTATATAAAAAAAAAATTGGGAGATGGGTCTATGCCGTCGAGATTTTTCATTGCGCTGGTCGTTTTTTGCCCTTTCATTTTCTGTTTTAAGGGCCCTGCATGTAAGTATTTGAAATGTAAGGAAAAATAGGCTATTTTTTATGTAAAAAGATATGAGTCTCATAATCTTAATTTCAATCCATCAACATTGTAATTAGATCTTTGTAAATACTGTATCTATAAAAATGTCATAACGCGCATCATACGCGTAAATAAATGTTTGTAATATATGAAATGACGATTATAATAGTTTCTTTTTCCTTAGGCGATAAACCTTCCTTTAAGCAGGAATAAATGAAAGGCGGTGGAAGGAAAAGGTTCGATAATTCATATCAATGGTGTTACAATTTTTGCAGCGACGCATACCTCTCGAAATTTTTTCGTAGGTGTATGAGGTTATCAGCCACTTACGGGATAACATCCAGGGATGGAAGCCTGTCTTGGTATTTTTTCCAAAAACTTGGTATGCTTAATCTCAGTTATTTTTGAGTAAAACTCGAATGAAAATTCTAAGAAAAATATAAATCAATTCTAAAAAAATAGCTTTTTATAATATATATAAAAAGCGATAAAATAAAAATAATAATAATAATATTTTTTTTAATATATTGTTATATTTTTATTATATTTATCATTCATATTATTATTTTTTTCATCGGCAGAAATTGTGCATATTCTGAATGTTCATACGGCGCGGTTTTCCTTGGTACATGTTCAACTTTTGTCCGAAATTTTCTGATTTTTACATGAGCTTAGAAAAAAAATCGATGAAATTCTCGATCAGAAGCGCCTAAAATTCTCTACGTTAAAATGCAATTTGCGGAAAGAAATTTGGCAAAATCGAAATATAATTGAAGCGCTGGGTGCAGAAAGGGCAAATCTTGGTTGCAATGTCTTACAGCCTCCGTTATAATTAAAGCAAATTATATGGAATTCTTTTAAACTTTTACTGATTTTTCTTCACGATTTTACGATGCTGAAAATTAAAAAAAAATCAGAAAATTCATCGAATGGTTTCCTCTTAGCTGTACAGATTTTGAGACACCGCAACCAAGAAATGCCGTCGCTGCACTCAACGCTTCAATTACGGGCTTTCGTGAGGGCACCGAGACCGACTATACAAAGTTACTGCCGCTCAGGCGCCTTCAAATCAAGAGATAGATAATTTGTCAGACTTGAAGGACCATAGCGTCGCTCGCTGCCGAGTATATTTTCCACACAATAGATGGCAGCAGTGTGACCGATTCAAATCCAATCCAAATGTCTCATTTTCATCCTAATGTTTCCCTACAGAGTTCAATCTGTTTCTTCATTCGATAAAAAATTCGCCACAAATAATATGCTATTTAGATTATATCTTCGATTCAGATTTTTTTTCGAGCCCCCTGTAATTTGTTATTTCCTCGCGAGATAATTTCACTCCTCGGATCCAGTAGAGGTAGGGGGTAGAGGGGGGGGTGGAAGGATACACTCTGGGCATGTTTTAAGTCAAGCTAGCTGAGAAATCAGCGGTGAAAGAACATATTTATGTGATTTTTTGTCAAGCATTTAAACCTAGAGGAGCGCCGGAGAAGAAGTAAATATGTGTTGATTAATATTCCTAGTATCCAGAGCAGAAACACCCATAATAGATTTGTTCCTGACAACATTTTCTATCGTAGGTAAACCCAAAAACGGACTAAATTTTGCAACAAGGAACTACTATATCTCGCTCATCCATAAAAGCACCAATCTGCACGAGAACACTAATGGAACATTATGTCGTTTTTAGAATGGGTTGGGAATGAAGGGCGCCTAATTTCAAAATGTAGGTGGTTCAAATATTCATCCTTTGTTTTTTCAAAAAGATTTAACGCACCATTGATAATTTAAAATTAAAAAATAAGGCACGATTGTGATCATGTTTGTGTAGACGATGAATATGAAATTTGAAATGGAGTAAGGCATTTTTGACTTGGTGACAGATCCGAACTCCGTTTCGCATTATGAAACTACTATTTGTGGCTGATTTGAGACTTAAATCATGTGTCATATTATATTTTCTGTGCAGTATTTTTTTTTTAAATTTAAGGATGAGCCTGAAAAATGTGTTCCTTTTTGCAAAGTGCAGTCAATTCGTCCGAGAGGGAACGTTTAAGTCCTCCCCTCATCATGAAACTAGCATCCGTAATTGGACCGCATTTTGCAATTCGAAGATGCAATTTTTGGCTCATACATAAAATACGTATTTACATAGGGAATTACATAGGAATACAGACGGCACATATGTTGTATGAGCTGAAAATTGTAGTACCTAATTTTAAAATGTGGCCCGATTCAGTAGCTCCGATTAGAACCCGGAGCATGAATTTCATTTTGCAATTAGGAACCACACACTTTCTTAATCATTTGTAAAAGAACTTCTCTGTATAGAACAACTAATGGCATGCGTTGTCTCCAGAAATAGTATGTCTCACTTACAAAATGCAGTCCACCAAGTCTGTGTTTTCAGACTTAGAGCTCGTTTTCAATGCAGAAAAAATTCATTCCTGGCGCTTTCTCCTCTTCCTCTAAGAGTGGGAACGACTTATTTTGCCGAACTAATACTTCTGCCTCATTTTCGAGAGAATGTGTGTGCAATTTATTTCCCTATGCAGATATGTGCTTTTGCGGACGAGTTTGAGGGAGCACCTTATTACGAAAATTGGTCCGACTGGAATGACGCCTCAAACCCGATCTAACGGAGCTTACCTTACAGGGTAAAAATTCAAGCAACGCATTGATGGCCAAAGTGCGAAACTATGTATCTTCATTGCAGTTTTAACAGTTTTCACTCTTACTTATATTATTTTTTTGAAAAAAAAAGCAAGCCAAGTTTATAACTTGAAAGTTACACAGAACACTCTGCCAAAAGGGAAGAAAATCATGAACGTTTTCAAGAATTTAAGTTGACTAGTTTTCAAAAGGAAAAATAAAGTCTGATAGGAAGTCTACAACGTTACAAACAAATATAATTTGTTTTGTACTTTGTTCATCCACAATTTTGATCAAAATTCGACGTAAGATTGGATGGCTATACTTCAAAATGTCCAAATTCAACTCGTGAGGAAGAAAATCACGTTTCACGAGTATGTGTGCGTGAATTCAAATTTGCCGCCGTAAAAAAACCAAAATTCACGCACGTCAGAAGGAACAATACACTATTATCTGTAAGTTTTAATATAGGATTTTTAATTTCATTATGTGTGCTAAATTTATTAAAACAACTCAACAAAGATAAAATAAAGGAAGACATTTTTTTTTTTGTTTCGTTAAACACCGATTATTTGCGGAACGGGTAAGAATATTCTCAGCGTTTGATACAACCTAAGTCGATTACGGGACTGGGAGTGGAAAAAAATTTGTGGAGATTTGAATGGATTGATTCTGATGTGAACTTTAAACGTTAATCTATCAACTATAGGTAAATTTTAGAACTTTCCGATATAAGTTCAAAATTATTCACGTGCACTTTAAATGAAGAATGTCCATCATAATGTTGCCTTTACATATAATTCTTGAGCTCAGACAGGGCCGGATTCACCTACTTGCCGCCCATGGACCGCCTGTATTTTGCCGCCCCCTTCTCATTCGTGTTGAAACATCCATAAAAACCATCAGGTGAACGTACAGCGGAGAGGGGTGTTTAAGACGCGTTTACTCGTGTTGGACACATTTTCTGCGAAGTCCTGTCAACATTACCAGCAAAAGTTCACGGAACTTTGCGCGAAAGTTAAGTTCCGTGAACCTCTCTCTATGTGAACAAGGCCTTCCATTTATAAGAAATGAACGAAACAATTATGAAAGAACAAACTGACCGCACTGTGTTTGACGCAATGCGTAAAGCATTTCTACAGTCAAATAGGCGCTGTGCGTTTTACACTGAACGCTTCTGAAGTTCAGAATCTGAACGCACTGTGTTTGATGCAATGCGTGAAGTATTCATGCAGTCTTGTAGGCGCTATGCGCTTCACGTCAACCGCTGATGACCGCACTGTGTTTGATGCAATGCGTGAAGTATTCATTCAGTCTTGTAGGCGCTATGCGCTTCACGTCAACCGCTGATGACCGCACTGTGTTTGACGCAATGCGTGAAGTATTCATGCAGTCTTGTAGGCGCTATGCGTTTCATGCCGACCGCCGCGCCGCACCGTTCCAGGTTAGATTGCGTGTTTGGTTTCTCTCTTAACTCGACTAATTAAAGGTGTTGTCTCTTGTATCACCGAAAGACGACAAAATTAGAAATTCCTATACTTTTGCTCTTAGGAAATGAGAGGTTTTGTCACCTCATCTCGTTTGTGATTTATTTTCTGAATCCGATTTTTTTCTCTCTTTTTTTGATACCTACATTAAAAAAAATGCAAAATTTGCCGCCCCCTAAATTTTCCGACATGGGCCGCGGCCCATGTAGCCACCCCCTAAATCCGGCCCTGAGCTCAGAGGTTCGCGGAAATAGAAGGCCCAGAATTCCATATCTAACGGTGTAAGTCCGCATCCACGTATCTCGGTTTGCGACGTCAGAAACTTCCTGTCATACTTTATTTTTTAAACGTAAAACTACTCAACGGCATTTCTTTAAAACTGCCATGATTTTTCTTCTCCGTGCGAAGAGAATTCTGCAAAAACTTCAAGGAATGATGTCCGTTTGTTCTTCTTTAGAAGGATAATATAGTGTCGGAGATATTTGAACACCGCAAACGAGTTACGTGGTTGCGGACTTACGCCGCACAGTGGATTGAGTCAATCGGATAGGTTGGACATCAAATTTTTGACTTAAACTACTAATTTTGATGTTTATTTCGTCACATTTTAAATTTAAAGGGGTGCGTCCAGAGGAAAATTTATCCAGGAAACCAATGAAACCACTTTTAGAATCTCAAAATTGTTTGCAAACGGAGTTATAAGCTTTAAAGTTTCCAAATTTTGTCCGACCTGTCCTATTGACTCGATCCAATGTGCGCCGTCGACACAGGACGAGGTTGAAAGATATGGTGCTCGATGAGAGAGACGAGAGATGAAAAAATAAAAATCTTACAACCAGGGGACAGGTTGTTGCCACGGGATTCAAGACAGGTGTCTCCGTGCAGAGGCTGATGGTCAACCAGGAGTCGGCCCCCGAAGCCCAGAGGCCTGAGGCACCTGCCCATTATTGTTCATTTGAATAAAGGCTAAAGTATAAACATCGGGACCAACGACATCTCAGATCGCCCAATAAATCGATATTCTGAC